CTTCTTTTTGCATTGATCCCTTTACCATTATTTAATGTACTTCTTTGTCTTTTTTGATCTTTGTTGGTTTAAAGTGTTTTATCAGAGACTAGGATTGCAATCCTGCTTTTTTATTTTTTATTTTTATTTTTTGTTTTCCAATTGCCATTCACAATTGCTACAAAGAGAATAAAATACCTAGGAATACAACTTGCAAGGGTTGTGAAGGATCTCTTCAAGGAGAACTACAGACCACTGCTCAAGGAAATAAGACAAGGACACAAACAAATGGAAAAACATTCCATGCTCATGGATAGGAAGAATCAATATCATGAAAATGGCCATACTGCCCAAAGTATAGATTCAGTGCTATCCCCATCAAGCTACCATTGACTTTCTTCATAGAATTAGAAAAAACTACTTTAAATTTCATATGGAACCAAAAAAGAGCCCATATAGCCAGGACAATCCTAAGCAAAAAGATCAAAGCTGGAGGGAACACGCTACCTGACTTCAAACTATATTACAAGGCTCCAGTAACCAAAACAGCATGGTACTGATACCAAAACAGTTATATAGACCAATGGAACAGAACAGAGGCTTCAGAAATAACGCCGCACATCTACAGCTATCTGATCTCTGACAAACCTGACAAAAACGAGCAATGGGGAAAGGATTTCCTGTTTAATAAATTGGCTGGCCGTATGCAGAAAACTGAAACTGGACCCCTTCCTTACATCTTATACAAAAATTAGCTCAAGATGGATTAAAGACTTAAATGTAAGACCTAAAGCTGTAAAAATCCCCCAAAAAACCTAGGCAATACCATTCAGGACATTGGCATGGTCAAAGACTTCATTACTAAAACACCAAAAGCAATGGCAACAAAAGCCAAGATTGACAAATGTGATCCAATTAAACTAAAAAGCTTCTGCACAGCAGAAGAAACTATCATCAGAGTGAACAGGCAACCTAGAGAATAGGAGAAAATTTTTGCAATCTGTCTATCTGACAAAGGGCTAATATCCAGAATCTACGAGGAACTTAAACAAATTTACAGGAAAAAAAAAAACCATCAAGAAGTGGGTGAATTATATGAACATATACTTCTCAAAAGAAGACATTTATGTGGCCAAAAAACACATGAAAAAAACACTCATCATCACTGGTCATTAGAGAAATGCAAATCAAAACCACAGTGAGATACCATCTCATGCCAGTTAGAATGGTGATCATTAAAAAGTCAGAAAACAACAGATGCTGGAGAGAAATGTGGAGAAATAGGAAGCTTTTATACTGTGGCTGGGGGTGCAAATTGGTTCAACAGTTGTGGAAGACAGTGTGGCGATTTTTCAGGGATCTAGAACCAGACATACCATTTGACCCAGCAATCCCACTACTGGATATATACCCAAAAGATTATAAATCATTCTACTATAAAGACACATGCACATGTATGTTTATTGCAGCACTAGTCACAATAGCAAAGACTTGGAACCAACCCAAATACCCATCAATGATAGACTGGATAAAGAAAATGTGGCACATATATACTATGGAATACTATACAGCCATAAAAAAGGATGCGTTCATGTCCTTTGCAGGGACATGGATGAAGCTGGAAACCATCATTCTCAGCAAACTAACATGGGAACAGAAAACCAAACACCGCATGTTCTCACTCCTAAGTGGGAGTTGAACAATGAGAAAACATGGACACAGGGAGGAGAACATCACACACCAGGGCCTGTCGGGGGTAGGGGGCTAGGGGAGGGATAGCATTAGGAGAAATACCTAATGTAGATGACAGATTGATGGGTGCAGCAAACCACCATGGCACTTGTATATCTGTGTAAGAAACCTGCACATTCTGCACATGTATCCCAGAACTTTAATTTTAAAAAATCACAGAAGTACTATGGAGTATGCATTTTATTATTATACCAATTCAAACATAGTGGTAATAAATGTTAAAAAGTGGTCACTTAATACCAAATGTTACTGCTATGGCTAAACCATAAACAAACAAATGAATTTCTGAAATTCTGTTGCTAAAAATTACATTTGAGGCCAGGCACGGTGGCTCATGCCTGTAATCCCAGCACTTTGGGAGGCCAAGGTGGGTGCAACACCTGAGGTCAGGAGTTCAAGACCAGCCTGACCAACATGGTGAAACCCTGTCTCTACTAAAAATACAAAAAATTAGCCAGGCATGGTGGCGGGGATCTATAATGCCAGCTACTTGGGAGGCTGAGGCAGGAGAATAGCTTGAACCTAGGAGGCAGAGGCTGCAGTGAGCCGAGATCGCACCATTGCACTCCAGCCTGGGTGACAAGAGCAAAACTCTGTCTCAAAAAAAAAAAAAAATTGCAGTTGATACTATGATAATCAACATGGGGATTGAGGATTAAGTTATTATAATAGTTACGAATATCTGCATTCCAGCCGCACCCCCAGATAATTTCAGCCATGTACTTCTGGCCAAGAACCACTTAGATATCTGAGGATGTGAAAACCATTTAGAACCCACATTGTGTTCACAGAATATGTTTCCAACTATGCCATTAGCCAAAGGCATAATTCTTGGTACAGATGGAATAGGAAGTTGGAGGTGTTTCCTACTTATTAAAGTCATTTAAAAAAAAAAAGTTGGAAGGACTTTTTAATTGTCCTGTGGTAACCACTGACCAAAAGAACACATTGGTAAAAGCCCCTGGGTCTGGGCTGTTCTCTTGAACCTCCAAATTGTCCCTGGTTCTGCTTGGGTTCCTGGACTGGGTTGTGGTTTGAAAGTTGTTGCCAGGCTTTGCCTACTAGGTCATTGTCTGGTGGGGCGGGGTTGTGTTGAGAGGACTGAGAAAGTGAGGCCTCTCTGACTAGCAGCAACTGTGGAAGAAAATGGGGACTGCACGGTAGAAAGAAGTTGACACTTTTCCTAGGACTCGAGACAGAATCAAGGGGGAGCCAGGTATTAAGCTAATAATAGCTTAGCCCTCAGCTGATCGATCTTACTGTCTTACATTACTATTGTTTTTAAATCTGTTGCTTCTTGTCAAATATATTTTAAGCTCTTGAGGTCAAGGAACCTTGGCAAATATCATTTATTGTCTTGAATATACTAAGTGCTCAATTACTAGCTTTTGCTGGATTCACAAAAAAAAAAGTTTTAAAGAGTCATACTCTTTACATTTTATTTCTTCTCTTATATGAATTCCATCTGCTATATGAATCTGCCAGAGCGAACATTGGAGGCAGGATTGGGGATTTTGTTGGAATTTAGAATATGTTGAGTCTTATTGTGATTCTCTATCACTGTATTGTCATTTTCCCATGCAAATAGGGTAGGGATCTAAAGGAAACACATGAATAAGTGGTTAAGAAGAATTCTAATGCTATGACTGAGTCTGTAAAGAAGCTTGGCACAGGCTAGAAGAACAGGGCAAGTCCTGCTATCTCAGAGGGAGTACACTGGCTGCAGGAGCCCTGGCCTTAGAATCAGCAGATGAGGTTTGAACCTCAGCCCTGTTACTTATAGGCTGGGTATCCTTAGGGAAGCCTCAGCTTAGCCCGGATTTCCACATCTGTGAAATGGGAATTATAGCAGTACCTGTTTGTGGGCTTTTCGGGTGTGTAAATGAGATTCATTAGTTTATTCAATAATGATTTGTTAAATATAATACCTACAGACACTATTTTAGACGTTGGATATATAGCAGTAAGCAAAACAAAAGCCTCTGCCTCATGGAATTTATATTCTAAAATACACATAATTAAATTTAATAAAGTGTTTATCAGTCACATTAGTTTGAGCCTCTCTGATGAACTCACACTGTGGTTTTTGCTGTTATTTGTCTATAGGAGTTACAACAGTAAGTAATTAGGGCTACTATTGGGTGTCATGTTTGAATTGGTATAACCCTAGGGAAGTCCCAGTAAGTAGGACATTTGTGTGTACCTGCTAAATTGCAGTATGCTTAGAAAGTCTGTTCCCCTTGAACTGGATTTCTGTCATTTTTGCCCCCCTGAAGTGCTTAGTTCAAACAGTCCAGCAGTCTGCTGAGATTCAAGGGTGGCAAGTGGTGGTGTGGCTGAACTGGTTTCTCTCAGTCATTGGTGTTTGCCCTATTTGTGATGTATGATTTCACAGAGTTGTGAAGGTGCTTGTGTCATTTGTGGAAATAAGTCCAAGGGCTAACACAACCAATTAAAATCCACAAGCCACATTTCAGTGAGTAATTTCCACCTTTCCTCTCCAAACTTTTCATTAGCCACCCGTCAAAGAACAAAAAGAACAAATTGAAGGTTCAGTTCATTTTTTTCGTTGCCTTCCCTCTGGGGCTTTTCCTTTGAGTACCGTAATGCCCAAATTCCACGAAAGGAGAAAGGGCAAGCCCGGGCAGCAAACCTCAGAGGAACCGCATTCTGCTGGTAATTGCATACCTTCTCCCAAGAGGTGTATCTGTATTCACCTCCATCGGCTGTCGTCTTCTTCGTGCAGTACTTCAGGTCTCCAGTGGCACACAGCCCATCTAGTTAAAAATGCAAACAGGAAATTATTCTTTCATTGAATGGCCTTTGTGGCCCAGAAGGAAAAATAAATGGTCATTTCTGCTGAGACATAACCTGAAAAACACTCTCACAAGAGTGGAAGCTGAAGGCTCACTATAAGCTAGCCCTGCCTCAGAACAAGGCTGGTGATAGCACGTGTGTGTGGGAACTCATGTGCATGGGCTCAGGGCATTTGTCACCAATGGACATGATTGAAGAAGCTTCTATCACCTGAAAAGCAGTTGTTCTGCTGGGCAAAGCTCATTTATACTCCGAGGAATTATAGAGCAGACGTTACTTGGATGCGGAGGTTTGGTCTGGAGGACTGTGACATGGCCCTGACAGCACGTCCCTGGGTTTCGGTGCTCCTCTGCTCTGCCCAGCTTTCCGTCATCTGGCCTCCCATGACCTCCTGTGCTCCCATTGTGGTTTCCCTGTGTGCTGACAAGTTTTCTGGTTGTTATGTCTTGCAGCCCCCCGAATCCAAGCCCAACTTCACCCCTCTCGCCATCTTGGCCCATGTTCTCGGCGCCATCCAGCCCTATGCCCACCTCATCCACGTCCAGCGACTCCTCCCCCGTCAGGTCTGTTGCAGGGTTTGTTTGGTTTTCTGTTGCTGCCGTTGTTCTCTCATTGGCTTGGTCCTCTCTTCATGCAGTGTTCAGCCTCCTCGTCAACTTTGTTCCCTGCCATCCAAACCTGCACTTGCTTTTTGACAGGCCAGAAGAAGCGGTACGTGAAGATTCCAGGTAAAATCTCGGATGATGACCAATCTGTTCCCGTTTATCCAAAGCTGGCCAGGGACAACAGGGGGCTGCCTCTGCTCTCCTGTGGTTCCATCCTAAGAGACCAGAGCTAAAAGGGACCATATGCATGAACCAGCATGGCATTTTTCACACCCTTTTTAACCCTGACTCAAGTTTCTGAACTAATCTTTCTGGTGCCTAAGTTAGGGGAAGGAGCACCTCCTGAATCAGACTCTGGTTATGACGGCTCTCTCAATTTCATGTGCTCGCTGTGCTTTGGTGTAAGATAACATAAGCGGGAGCAGTGTTGAGACACGTGCCAACCTTTTCTTCTCTCCTTTTTATCAGGTGGCATCAGGCAATATTTATTTGCGGGGTTGGGTCCCTGGCTCTGAGCAGTGACACCGAGTCACTTAGACCAGATCCAGTGGAGGAGAGCCAAATAGAACACAGAATAAAAACTTGAGAGACGAAGCAATTTCTCTTAAATTGCTCACGGCTTATGCCTCCTTGTCCCCCATATACTCCCAGAACCATCCATACTCCCAGCCTGCTTCTGTCTCTGTGTGTCATGAAGCCTGAGCTGTCCTGGGAACAGGCACTACCTCTCTCTGAGGGAGAGCAGCTTGACCTAGTTCCTCTTCTCAGGGCCATGCTGTAGTTTTCCCTGCTTTTGTGACTTCCGCACTTAAGTTATTTGCTCTTGTGCTCTTTGGGGAAAAAAAAGAGCTCTTTACAACCAGGAAAAGAATGAATAGGGATCCTGCAGAATTCCTATGCTGTGAAACTCCTGAACATGCTTCTCTCTCAAGCTTAGTCTCGGCTTTCAGACAACCAGATAGTAGAGCCCAGTTTTAAGCATCAGAAACGTTTTGGGCTTTGGGAGTATTTTCTCTTCTGTCTTTTTCTCCAAAGGGTGGATCCAGCAGAGAGGCTTAAATAATTGGTCAAGCCGAGTTTCACTTTTAGAAGAAAAGAAAACCCCATGCTATTTATATAGATACAGATACATATATTACTTTATTCCCCACTAGGCACTTACACATCTATCATTTCATTCTATCCTCATGTGAGAATGAGAAGAGAAATGGCCTGAAACCTATTGTGGAAAAAGAAAACTAAAGCACAGTGAGGTGACTTGGACACAATGACATGACTAAATGAGAGCCAGTCCAGAATTCAGGACTTCTCCCCCTCAGCTCAGCACTCTTTCCACCAAACACGTGGGTAACCCCAGCTTTGAGTTTCCATGCAGCTCCCAGCCCAGAGCCTGGCTTGCTCTTTTAGGTTTTATACAGCTTTCTACCTGGCTTTGTCCCGGATGATGGGAAGGAGCTTTTCAATAAATTCTTTTTTTTCTCACTCTATAAATAAGGGAAATTTTCAGATCATGTCTTCCTGACATTCTAGTGATTTCCTAATCATTCCTTGGACATCTTCTGGGCACTTTGGGAGACATTAACTTTTTAAGATACCAGAAATAGGCCGGGCGTGGTGGCTCAAGCCTGTAATCCCAGCACTTTGGGAGGCCGAGACGGGCGGATCACGAGGTCAGGAGATCAAGACCATCCTGGCTAACCCGGTGAAACCCCGTCTCTACTAAAAAATACAAAAATCTAGCCGGGCGAGGTGGCGGGCGCCTGTAGTCCCAGCTACTCGGGAGGCTGAGGCAGGAGAATGGCGTGAACCCGGGAGGCGGAGCTTGCAGTGAGCTGAGATCCGGCCACTGCACTCCAGCCTGGGCCACAGAGCGAAACTCCGCCTCAAAAAAAAAAAAAAAAAAAGATACCAGAAATAGCATGGATTATTCTCATTAGATCATGCGGACCTGAACCAGAGGAAACGAAGTGACCACAGACAAGTCAGCTTCCAAAATGCCTTACTCACTCATTAGAGAAACTTGGGCTTTAGGAGAATGTAGTTCCTTCATTTTTATCAAAATGGAGTAAAAATCTTCAAACTATTGGCCCTTTGGACAAAATGAGTTAAGAGACTCGAGAGTGGCATCACTCAGCTAAAATCCTAAAATGTCCTCTCTGCCTTGATGCTACTCACATTTTTGTGACTCTGAGCTTTGGGGCCCTGTTTCTTGTCAAGTATCTTTACCTCTTCACTCGTTTTCATCTCCCCAAATAGTTCCAGACTGTTTTTCCTTCCTCCCTCTTCCTACCTCCCAAAGTATTTCCAGATTGACAGAGGGCAGTGGCAATAGAATCTGCCCATCTTGTGTGTCTGGGGTCACGATCAGTCAGTACCTCCTCCCCTGGCCATTGTTAGAATAGCACCATTTGGACACCCTTTAGGAAGCTGCCCTCTTGAAATAGTCAAGGCAGGCAGGGCGCAGTGGCTCACACCTGTAATCCCAGCACTTCAGGAGGCTGAGGCGGGGAGATCACCCGAGGTTAGGAGTTCAAGACCAGCCTGGACAACATGGAGAAACCCCATCTCTACTAATTAGTAAAGTACAAAAATTAGCCAGGCATGGTGGCAGGCGCCTGTAATCCCAGCTACTCAGGTGGATTGCTGGAACCTGGGAGGCACAGGTTGCAGTGAGCCAAGATCACGCCATTGCATTCCAACCTGGGTGACAGAGCTAGACTCCATCTCAAAAAAAAAAAAAAAAAAAAAAGTCAAGGCAGAGTTGGGCTAAGTGTGTGTGCCCAGGGGAGCACAGATAGCAACATTGCTGGGGAGCTGGCTCATCAGAGGAACAGAGAGGGCCAAAATCTGTACACTGCAGTGTATAGCAAAGAGGTGGTGGTATACACCCATTATTCAGGTCAATTGAGGCCTCTCCCAAATCCACTTCCAGAGCATGAAGCTTCAGATTTCCTTCCCTGAGCAAAGCCTTTAAAAGTAAATATTAAATTAGACCTAATCAGTGGTCCCATGAACTTCTGTATGATATCTCCTCTGGAAATTGCTTCCTGTCTGTATTAGTCGGTTTTCATGCTGCTGATGAAAACATACCCAAGACTGGGAAGAAAAAGATGTTTAACAGACTTACAGTTCCACATGGCTGGGGAGGCCTCACAATCATGGCAGAAGGCAAGGAGGAGGAAGTCCTGTCTTTCATGGATGGCAGCAGGCAAAAAGAGAGTTTGTGTAGGGAAGCTCCCATTTTTGAAACCATCAGATCTCATGAGACCCAATCACTATTACGAGAACAGTACAGGGAAGACTATCCCCCACGATTCAGTCATCTCCACCGAGTCTCTCCCACAACACGGGAATTATGGGAGCTACAAGATGAGATTCAGGTGGGGATGCAGAGCCAAACCATATCACTGTCCCCTCTTCAAATCATTGATAGACTTTGTTTGTTCAAAGTCAGGAATGAAGATGCCTTTTGCAGCACAGTAGAGAAAGGGTGCTGGAGACGCATTCCCTCCATATTTCCCTTTTCTTTCACTTGCTATAGTCACCTCCCCCATAAAAGCCCACAGTCCCAAACCCATAACTTGCATTCGCACAGGAGTCCCTGGAAATTTTGCCTAAATGATCAACCCTTTGCCACCTGCCAGTCTAGCTGGTCCCACCTCCCTGTAGTGCCATATGATGGAGAACGGGTCATCATTTTGCAAGGTTTGCAAGGGCATTTGAGGGAAACTCCTGTGAGTGCTTTCCAGGCCTTGTGCCATACTCAGGGGTGAAAATTAAAAGGGAACTAGCAGGAGGATCCAAACTTGTTCATGCCTTTAAAGGCCCAGCTGAAATCTGAAGGGCAGTGTGACAGGAGCAGCCAAAAACTGCTCCAGGCTCTCTGTAGCCAGTTTTGAGATGCACTGTGGAGAATAGGAAGCCAAAGAACCAATGATGCCTGGTGGAGATTTTTTATTTTTTTTCAATCAGAGCCAAAGCCTACAAACACAATCTTTCTGCCAACGGGATTTGTCTGTTTTGGTAGGAACCCTACCTAAAGCAAACTGCTTAAGGCCTTTGAGAAGGAGTTACGGGACACTTGAGTTGTTGAGCTGACAAGCTTTTAAGAAGATAAGACTTTTTGGGTAGGGTTGCCAGATTTAGCAAATAAAATAAAAATACAGCATACCCAGTTAAATTTGGATGGTAGATAAACAACAAAAATGTTTTCATATACATATGTCCCATGCAATATTTGGGACATAATGTATACTAAAGAAATATTTATTGTTTAATCTGCCATCCAAATTTAACTAGGTGTCCTGTATTTTATCTGGCAACCCTACCCATTCCTACTCCTTGGGCAATACAAATGGCCCCCTTTAAAAGCACCTCTTCTATCATTTCTCCCATTTTTGTGCCTATCCTATCGCAGTTGAGGGAGATCTCAAGGGAAAATTCCTCCCATAGACTATTGGCTACTTATCAACTTGAGGGAAAAACAAAGCCCTTTCTTGGCTTGCTTATTTATTTATTTATTTACTTACATTTTTTTCGAGACAGGGTCTCACTTGACTAGAGTGCAGTGGTGCAATCTCTGCTCATTGCGGCCTCAACCTCCTGGGCTCAACCAGTCCTCCTGCCTCAGCCTCCCAAGTAACCTGGACTCGACACGTGTCCCATCATGCCTGGCTAATTTTTAAAAATTTTTTGTAGAGATGGAGGTGTCTACAGTCTGGACTTAAATTCCTGGGCTCAAGCAATCCTCCCACTTCCCAAAGTGCTAGGATTACAGGCATGTGCCACAGCACCTAGTCTGTTATTTTTTAATGTGTTATGTTATTGCCACTTCATTATTCAGTTTCACAAACCTAATATCAATGGAATGTTACTCCTTTTGAATGATAATCTTGGACACCTGGACCATTCCCTTTTATTTCTGCCTGCCAAATACCCCTGCTGGTTTCCCGGCTTGCCCCTGTTTTGTCCCATTATCCTTATTTAGTGAGGTTAATAAGTAATGTTCGCAAAAATCCAGTCAGAGGAGCTTTTCCTCAGATACTGTTTCCCTTACTTTTAGTCCCCCTTCCCTGGTCTCTTTGCTTTTTACCCACCTGCTTTGCCCTGCCCAGGACTTGCTCTGCCCTGTCCTCAAGAGGCAGAAATATTGCCTCAAAACCTGGTCTCTGAGACCCCGGCTAATGTGAACTGGATTCTCCTTTCACCTTCAATGTCATAACAGGCTCCATTTGCCTGTCAGTATAGTCTTTTATCTGTTTTAGCACTTTTCACAGCCAAGTCACTCCTCCTCTCTGCTTCCCAGCTTCTCAAAAAAAAAAAAAAAAAAAAAAAAAAAAAAAAAGCTTCTTAGGTTCCTCCCTGGAAAGTTGCACATAGGATATTTGGTCCTTGCTGGCCAACACAGACTTGGTTTCTTTGGCTCACAGATTGTGCCCCTTGTCCTGAACTTTATTCTTTCATCATAATTAGCCAGGAAGAGCTGTTTTCCTGTTGAAGCTGATGAATACTAAGGACTCTTCTTTCCTTCATTCCCAGGGGTCCCACTTCATTTTCTCCTGCTTTCCCAATGTTTTCCCACCTGGCCATCATCTCTTGGCTCCTAGAAAACCAGAGGGAACAACAGTAAACTATGGCCCAGCAATAAATTTGAGATAACCATTTACTTGGATCAGCCTGCACAATGGAGACCATGTGGCTCACAAAGTTTAAAATATTTACCACCTGGCCCTTTGCGGAAAAAGGTTGCCACCCTCTGCTCTAGAACAGTGGCTCTCAACCCTCATTTCATATTGGAATTACTTGGAGAGCTTTTTTAAAATACTGATGCTCAGCTGGGTGCGGTGGCTCACGCCTGTAATCCCAGCACTTTGGGAGGCAGAGGCAGGTGGATCACGAGGTCAGGAGATTGAGACCATCCTGGCTAACATGGTGAAACGCTGTGTCTACTAAAAATACAAAAAATTACCTGGGCGTGGTGGTGGGCGCCTGTAGTCCCAACTACTCGGGAGGCTGAGGCAAGAGAATGGCGTGAACCCGGGAGGCGGAGCTTACAGTGAGCCGAGATGGTGTCACTGCACTCCAGCCTGGGCAACAGAGTGAGATTCCATCTCAAAAAAAAAAAAAAAAAGATGCCTATATAATATCTGCACATCTGGGTAGAACCCAGGCATCTGCATTTTCTAAATGTTCCCCAGGTGATTTGGATGCACAGTGAGAGTGATTGTAAACACTTATTGGACGTGAGAAAAGCAAAAACAAAACAAACAAAACGCCTCATGTCCCCTCTCCCTTCTTCCTCCTCTCCACACTCCCCATACAGGTGCACGTGTGGGCTCGTGCACACACATGTGTAATTGCCCTCATGCACCTTGTCTATTCCCTCCCCTGGGGGTTGGAGAGCTCCAGCTCTGGAATCCTGCCTCACCAGCAAGACCCAGCCTGGTAAGAAATCAGGAACATCTGGGAGAGCTCATGTCCGCCCGTGGCCTGGAACTGAAACTTGGCTTTGCTGGAATTTCTCCTTTTTGACTCACTGAGCATTGCCAGCTTTCAACAGGGTCTGTTGGGAGCGTGTTCCCCAGAGCAGCTTGGAACTTCTTTCCTGCCCCTGCTTCCCTCCCCTCCCACAAGCACTCCCACTCCAAAAATGGGGCCCAGCCTGCCCTCCCGCTGTTTGGCTGTTGTAACTCCCAGGTAGAGTTTTAACATGGCACAAGGTGACCCCACAAGAAGTGCAGTTTCTTGAAGCTTATGGCTTTTCTCTGAATATTTCTCATTTTTCTCCTGTGACCTTTGCAGCTTTCCCACCTCATGTCTTGCCATCTGGCTGCCTTGCCAGGCACTTCCCACGAGAGGGGACTAGGTAGTTTACAGGGAAAGGGAAGAAGGGAGATTAAATATCTGGGGCTTTCTAAGGGTTTTTTCAAAAATGTTAAATAAACTCCTGTTTTCACACAGCACACCGTTCCGGAAGGCGAAAGCCTTGTATGCCTGCAAAGCTGAACATGACTCAGAACTTTCGTTCACAGCAGGCATGGTCTTCGATAATGGTGAGTTTCTCATCCCCTTGCAAAGATATGGGCGGGGGGCGGGGGCAAGAGGAGCACATAAATGGCATTTTCAAAGCTCCTCCCTAGGGAAAATCTCAATACAATGGGTAAGAAAAAAAAGGTGTGTGTGTGTATGTGTGTGTGTGTGTGTGTGTGTGTTGGTTTCTGTGTCTTTTCCCAAAATAAAAGAGCAGCAGCAGGACTTCCGGAGACATCGTGAAGAGTGAACTAGTGTAATCAGCTCCGCGTTGAGTTGTTACCACCGTGAATGAGATTGTGCCTGCAAAAGACCCAGCCTAGGACCTGAAAGTGGCTTTAAGAGATCATACGCATCACATGTTTAAAATGGTACTCAACACGTATTAAGCATTCAATAAGTTAATATTTTTATTATTAAAACCATCATCATTGTATCCATCTTTGAAAAAGGCCCTGATGCTCTCATAGTTCACAGTGACAATTTTTCCTCACTTTTGTCTGAGCAGTGGGTGCTGCACCTGACTCTGGGGTCCTGGCTATATCTGTAAACACATTCCAGGCCAGAGCAGAGATGGGTTCCTGGGGACCAGCCCTTGACTGTACTCACATCCACAGGGGCTGCCATTGTGTGTGCCCAGCCACTGCATTCAGCATAGCAGAGATACCCATCAGGTACAGGTAGACAAAAGGGGGAACAAGGCACAGAGCATGGGGGTTTCCCAGGTCACACTCAACCCTTGGCCTTCTGGGTCAGCAGAAGGAGGAGGGATTACCCCAGAACTGCATGTGGGTGTCTGGGTCTGCATTCCCTTTTATCGCTCTCAAAGCCTCAAGCACTGTCCTTAAACCTTTGCTCCATTAACTTTCATCTGGGCCCTTTATAAATCAAAGTGCACAAACAGCCAGCCCAGCCACCTCTCCTGTTCACAGCTGGTGCTTGCAGGCCCCAGCAGACTGCAGGTGCAGTGCAGGTGCAGTGGGGCTGCTGAAGGCTGTCCAAAGCCATTTTACTGGTGAGTGTCCCCCACACAGGCCCAGGCGGCGGAGTCCTCGCCCTGTCGTAACATGACACGGCTCTTACAGAAGACAAACCAGAATGGGCTACATTGCTTGGGCTTCTGCTTCCTGCTTTGTCAGCAGGGTAGGGGCTTCTGCCTGTAGAAGAGCAGGATTTGAGAGATTCCTACACTGACAGGTGAATCCAGGGCTTAAAGGGCTGTCCTCTAAGTCCCAATTCACTGCTCACATGGGCAAGAGATCATCATGTTCCTATCAGCCATTCCCTCTGACAACACAAAGGACTCCTGATCTCAGGGGCAGAATTGTTTTAAACTAGCAAAAGTTATGTATATGCTTCTCTCTTCTTTGTGATTCCTTTTGGTGAGTGCAGCCTTCTTCCATTTTTTAACGGTTTATTAAGATAGCCGTACAACCTACAATTTACCCATTTAAAATGTACAATTCAATGGTTTTTAGTATATTCAGAGTTGTGCAACCATCACCACTATATAATTCCAGAATATTTTCATCACCCCCAAAAGAAACCCCATACCTTTTAGCAGTCATGCCCCACTTACCACAACCCATTTCCATCCAGCCCAAGGCAGCCACTCTTCTACTTTGTCTCTCTCTATTTGCCTGCTCTGGACATTTCATACAAATGGAATTATACAGTATGTGATCTTTGAAACTGGATTCTTCAGTTTGCATAATGTTCAAGTTCATCCACATTGTAGCGTGTCAGAACCATATTCCTTTTAATGTGTGATGGTATGGACATAGCACTGTTCATGTAAGCTCATTCCTCAGTAGATGTGCACGTTGTTTCCACTTTTTGGCTCTTTGAACAATGCTGCTGTGAACATGCGTGTAGGTGTTTGTGAGGGCGCAGGTTTCCAGTTCTCTTGGGGATGCACCTATGAGTGGGACTGCAGGGCCATATGAATTCTGTGTTTAAGTGTTTGAGGAAATGCCAAACTGTTTCACGAAGAAGTTGCACCATTTTACCATTTTATGTTCCTACCTTCTTTCATTTTTAAGTCTTTCTGCAGTAGCTTAAACAGTTAAGCATAAAGGGGGAAAAAAAAGAAGAGAAGAGAAGCCTGGGTGATTGTTAACTGCCAAGTCCCTTTTTTCCCCAGCAGAGTGTCCTTCAGCATCCACAGCCATCTTCACTGCCACACCGAAGCCCCGGGTGCCTCCACCTCTCACCTGGGCGCTTCCACTGGCCGCCCGACACATCTTTTCACTTCTGCTCTTGCTGCCATGACCTCCTCTTTACCGAGCAACGAGGGTGATCTTTGAAAAATGGAAATGACATTAAAGCCCTTCAGTGGCCCCCCATTGCTCTGAGAATTACTTACAAGGCCCTCCGGGGCCCAGTCCCTGCCCCTCTGACCTCTCGCCCTCACTTGACATACTACAGCGTCATAGACCTTCTTCATGTTCTCAAGTAAGGTCAGCAAACTATGACCTGCCGGTCAAATCCAACCCACCACCTGCCACCTAACAATTCTGTAAGTGCTCCCGCCTACAGTGTGGTAATCATCAGAAATCCTATGGGTATTGATAGATGAGAGCAAGAGGGAAGTTTGGTTGAATGAGTAAGAGGACTTACCCAAGCCTTCCTGTGAGCTGTAGGAGTCATGGCAGAGTTTGCTGACACTGGTTTGTTTTTAACCAGCCTTGCCAGTGACCTTTCAAATTCCCTGAGGAGCAAAAGGCCAAATTAAACCTGAAAGAAAACACCTCTCAGTGTTGACTGAGTTGCAGTAGAAAATGGACCTGACGAAATGTTAGTACACCTTCTCAGATGAGTTAACTGAAAATATGTTATTAGGTCTTCTTTCCAGAGGAAAATGCTTACGTAGACCCTCTTCCTCCCCACCCTGTCACCTCTACCAGAGAAAATGAGGCATTACAGAACACTGTTATTCTGCCTGGCGGGGGGTGGGGGGTCTTTTTCCTTGTTCCATTTCTTGTGAGTTTACCACTGGGGATATTAGGTAAAGGCTATTTAATTTGTATGCTGTGTAGCTGTCAGATTAAATCATCAAACCAATCAGAAGAAAGTGCACGTGTGTGTGTTTGTGTGTGTGTGTGTGTGTCTTTGTGTGTGTGTCAGGCTTAAGAAGAATGAATAAGGAAGAGGAAAAGGGAGGGGCCCGTGGAGGGAAAGTCTGTTGTTTCGTAATGATTAATCTCAAAGCCTTTGGATTCCAAGGGCCCCTACTGTGACTCTGGAGTGGCTGCTGCTGTCAGCTCATGGACTTTGTGCAGTGGGAAATGGATGTGCAATACCTAGAAATAATTCCAGTGTCAGCTCTGGCCAATCTACTGGGAAACTGTCCATTTTAACAAGAGCACCTCAGACAGTAACTGGAAAGAGAAATAGCTCATATTCTCAGGAACGTTAGTCATCTTGAAGCAACATGATTCGTGATACCTGGAAAATGCACATGGCAGTCACTAAAATTGGGTTCTAGGGATACTTTTAACAAGATCTGAGAGGAGATGGATCCATTCATTCCCATGGTACCTGACACAGCACAACTACACAGCAGGCCTGTCCCAAGTTTCCTTTGCTGATGGAGAACATCCTCACGGGGGAGCCCCCAAGCTGCCTAGGAAATAGGCTAACAGGAGAGCACTCAGGGATCTCCTTCAGCTTCTCCAGCCATCTTCGCTGCCACGCCCAAGCCCAGGCCACCTCCACCTCTCACCTGGGCGCTTCCACTGGCCGCCTGACACATCTTGTTGCTGGCTTCCACTCTTGCTCCCATAACCCCTTCTTCACATAGCAGCAAGAGTCATCTTTGAAAATGAAAATCACATCATGTTATTTCCTGCTTAAAATCTATCAGTGGCCTCCCACTGCTCTGAGAATGACTTACAAGGCCCCCCAGGGCCCAGTTCCTACCCCTCTGACCTCCTCTCACCCTCACTTGACATCCTGCAGCTTCGCAGGCCTTTATGTTCTCAGGTAAGAGCAGCAAACTATGACCTGCCAGTCAAATCCAACCCGCCACTTGTTTTTGTAAATAAAGCTTGACTGGAACACAGACACTCATGCCTTTGTGTCTGCGTGTTATCTGTGGCACTAATGGCAGAGTTAAGGAGAGAGACACACTGACCGTGAGGCTCTTTAGGAAATAGAGGCCCACCAGTGTTCTAAAATCCCTCCCAGCCTTTTCCCATTGCAGGGCCACTGCGCTTGCACTACCCACTGCTCTAGTCTTTCTCCTTTCACCACTCCCTAAAATTATGTGCTTGCTTATTGCTTGATTGTCCCGCCGAGCAAAATCTTGTCTGCTTGTTCTGTGCTATGTGCAAGGACCTAGCATGCTGTCTAGCATGTGGTAGGTGTTCAGTAAACATATTTAAATGAGTGAATGTACTTTAATTACCCAGGGGTCTGCACCTCTTTTAGTTAAGACTTCTTTTGGGAACAGTCAGCCATTAGAGACCTTAGTCGCACACTTGCTCCCTGTCCATGGTGAGCGAAGGAGGGCAGAAGGCATGAGTTGTATGCGCAGGGGTGTATGGTGTACACAGGGGTAGAGCTGAGAGAAAGTGGTTGGCAGGAAGCACACCTGTGTCCCCAGAAGCTTGTATTTGTTATATGCTTGCTGGGCTGAAGAGCCCCTCAGGCAGCTTGCGGCAACACCTTTTGTGTTTGTAGCATCTTGGACACTGGTGCAGTTCAGTGTTGCACATTGGCGCCATTCAGCCCAACAAGCGCTTAGCATCTTTGATGTTCAGAGCATTGGGCTAGGCAACAGCAGTAGTAGTTAAGATGACAGACTCTGGGATCAGATGGCCTGGGCTCTGATTCATTTTCATCGACTACCAGCTATTAATATTTAGTTTTGGCCAAGATGCTTAACTTTTCTCAGCCACAGTGTTTCATCAGTAAAGTGAGGATAATAGCAGAACCAACTCCATAGTCATTCTGAAGATGAAAGGAGGAAATGCAGGTGTGAAGCGTGTATTCGCAAAAGGTCTGCCACCTGGCATGTGCTCAACATGTTATCTTCCTTATCAGCATGGCTCACACTCTCTGGTTAAATAGAGGCCTGATATAGTGGGAAGGGGGTTGGTCTCTGGAATCAAACGAGCTGAGTTTAAATTTTGGTTCTAGTATTGTGACTGTGCACAAATTATTTTACCTCTCTGAGCCTTAATTTTCTCATCTGCAAAATATGGATAATAATAATATAAGCTAGGATCCTGAGAATCAAATGAATCAATATGTCTAAAACTCCAAGCACATGGCAGCTTCATAACATATCTAAGTGTTAGCTTGTATCATCATAATTCATGAGGCAGAAGGGAATTACTGAAGGTTGTTGAGCCAGGAAGTGCTATAATCCAAACCAAAACGCACTGAAAAACTAGATAGAGAAGCAAAGCTTAGCACATTTGAACAGCATATTAATAGGATGCGTGCATACTATGTGGGATGTACTATGAGCATTTTAGGAGTCTGGAAGAGGAGGGTGCGGGTAGAAGGGATTCCATGGTAATATTTACAAAGGAAGTGGGGCTTCAGGTAAGCCTTAACGTGGAAACAGAAGACAGCAGAAAGAAAGGGGGCACTGGTGCTGCCTCCCTCCTCCGTTAGTAAATGACAGTTTGCATTTTAACTCGGAGGCATTTGGGCACAGAAAAGTTATAGCTCCTAACTTCCTGTGAACTAGTGAAAATACAGGTTCCTGCATCCCCTTCCCAGAGATTCTGCTTTAATTGATTTGCCATGGGTCCCAGGAATGTGCGGTTTGAATAAGCATCCTGAGGGTTCTGAAGCACATGGTCTGGCATATGCTTTAGTAAACCCTGGCTTGAAGGCTCAGTGAGTCAGCAGTCCGACCCAAAGCCTGTGTTATCTCCTGCCATCCCCTGTGACCTACCTTTTGGCCTCAGTTTGGAGGGCCTGTCTTGTCCCCTCTAATTCTTCCTTTAGCCCCCAAATTGCATTGTAAATGTTTTCACCCCAGTACCTGTGCTGTGGTTGAACAGCTGCCCAGGAAAAGGAGAAAGATCTGAAGGAGATGGACTCAGTGCATCTGGTAGAGTAACAACTCAACTTGGAGCTTTGCTGTAAAGCAGGAGGGCCTGGCTTTTGTTTTTGTTTTGTCAGTTTGGTTGCTTTATTCTTTCTAGGTTTTTATTTTGGAGAATGGGTTTGATTTGTTATTTTTATTCTAAACATTTGATTTTTCCTGAAGCTCAGGTGGGTGGTAAGGGCTGTCTGGTTTTATTAGGTCTTACTAGGAGGGGGTCTTGCTGAGCAGTCCCGATCCAGGATCTCCTACTGACTAGCCTGTACTGAGCATTTGCTCTGTGCCTGGCTCTGTGCCGAGTGCTTTATCCACACCAGCTCCTTACATATTTGCAAGAACCCACTAAAGGGAAGAGGGGCTTGTCACCAGTATGAAGTGCAGAAACTGAAGTGATCTTGGAAGCTTTGGTTGGATGGATGGGCAGAGGGCAGGGGTATTTGGGTGTTCTTTAAGAGTGGCATGGAAGACCTTTGGTAATTGGAGAGGCCAGGTTGCTTTTAATTTGTATCTTCTTCCAAGGCACTTCTCTCCCAGACTCTGTCTTGTGTGGGTTGTCATGAACCCAAAGTATCCTTGCTGTTTATTCCTGAGGCTTAGTGATCTGAAATTGGCCAACTTTGGAGGCCAACGAATAGATGTTTAACCTTGTCTTTTCCTAAAGAGGCACTCAAGGTGTACCCAAAGTTGACTGGCACTGATCTTCTGGAAGATTCTTTTGCTGTCTCCCATTTGCCTCCTTTGGTTTCTGTTCTTGCGTCTTTCCCTACAAACTGAAACTAGAATTCTGTAGCAGTGTCGGATCGGAAATGCTTTTCTAAAACAAGCTCAGGAAGTCATTTAATTAGCCCAGGAAGGGAATAGGGGAAAATCTATTCTCTCCAAATAATCTTGGAAAATTGGAGCTTTCCTAACACATTAAGAGTAAATGCCCTGCCTCACTGCAGAGTGATCTGTATATCTTCAGTTGACAAGCATGAACATCCCCCACCTCTTAGTCCCATGATTCCTTCTCTCTTCCTTCCTGCTATTGACTACTTTGCAGACTCAGCTGGATTTTAGATAATCTTTATAACATCACAATGGTTTCCATGGAGATGGATCATGATGTCACAAAAGTAGATATACATTCTTTGGATACTGAAAAATCAAAGGGCAATAGAGGGAGGAAGAGAAGAATTTTTAAGCTGGTATACAGAGGAGGGGGAAATCTAGAGAACAGGAAAGAAAACTAAGAAAGAGTGTGAGTGAAACAGAGAAATGGCTATTCAAAGGCTATTCAAAATGACAACCACCAAAAAAAAAAAAAAAAAAAAAAAAACCCAGAAAATTTGCAAGGAAATTAGAAGCAGGGGGTAAGGATTTGAAGGAAAGTAAGATGATGATGAGAAGCTGGATTGATTGAGACAGGGTCTTGCTCTGTTGCCCAGGCTGGAGTGCAGTGGTGCAATCATGGCTCAGTGCAGCCTCGACCTGCTGAGCCCAAGCAATCCTCCCACTTCGGCACTCCCCCTCCTCCAAGTAGCTGGGACTACAGACACGCTCCATCAAACATGGCTAGTTTTTGTATATTTTGTAGAGGTGAAGTTTTGCCATGTTGCCCAGGCTGTTCTCAAACTCCTGGGCTGAAGCAATCCACCTGCCTCAGCCTCCCAAGGTGCTGGGATTACAGGCGTGAACCACCAGGCCCAGCCTCTAGATGCTGGATATCTTTAGAGACTAGTTCTTAGTCTTCTTTGAGTACTGCACTGAGTACATAGTTGATACTGGGCAGGCGGGTGGGTGAGTACGTGGGAGGAAGGAAGGAAGGAAAGGAAGAAAAGGAAGGAAGAAAGGAAGGATACATACATGTATGGATGGACCAGGTCAATTGTTGCCCTCTAACCTACATAGTAGGAATCTGTCACTTCTTTGTAGTTTAAACCAGAAGCTTCAGAAAATCTATGAAATCCCTAAAATTGTATGCAAAATTTTGAATGTCTGTGACTGTTTCCTTTTTCATTGTGAAGAAAGTTTTCAGGACAGCTTTCATCAAAAGGCTTATATCTCACAAAAGGTTCAGAACCTCTAAACTTCTAGAATGATGTAACTTAATAAGTGATTGTACTCATTGTTCAAGCTTCCTTCACACACACACACACACACACACACACACACCCCACACACACACACATCTGCCGCCTTCTCTATCTGTAACACCATCTATTCTCGCTTTCTCTCCCCTTCCTGTACAGTTCACCCATCTCAGGAGCCTGGCTGGTTGGAGGGGACTCTGAACGGAAAGACTGGCCTCATCCCTGAGAATTACGTGGAGTTCCTCTAACCGTGGGCCCCAGCAGAACTGCTGAGCTTTACATGGTATCCATGACAACTGCTGATTCCAGTGTCGTAGGCCATTTCTCTTTGCCACTGAGAAATGCAGCGTGACTGACTCTGTTGCTACCTGTCAACATGAATGTTTCTGTGAGCTCTGGTGTCACTCATCTCCATGATCATCTCAGCCAACACTCGTCAATACTGCAAGAAAAGAAGTCAATCAGCAGAGGAGACCATTTGCTTTTGATAACTAAGAGGAAGACTTGCAAAGCCGTTTTCTCCTGAGTACCCTAAATAGGGGGCACTCATTTTGTTTCAACAGTCCGAACGCCCAACCTTCACAAAGAGGAAGTCAGATAGAAGTAGTCCCCGAGAGCACACTGCGTAGCTAAGTCTGCTGGGGCTGGGTGAAGAAATTGGCGCTGAGATCCAGGCTGGATCCATTGCTTTTGTTTACAGTAGGCACTCTCTCTACCCCACCTCTCAGTACTTGAGACTTAAAGTGCTACAGGCAGCTGAGTCTGTTTGCATGCAGGATGAAGAGGGTTAAAGCACTGTTTATATAAGATCCAATCTCTCACCATCTCTAAAGCAGCCGTTGGCCCATCATCAGTGAGATATAGTCCAGTCTTCTCATGCATGGGAACACACACACCCTGCGTTTCTCCCTCCCCGGCTAGGAACCTCTCTGCCACCAAGGGCTGCCATCCATCGCCTAGTAACCACGGCAACCCAACCTACTCTAAAACCAAACCAAAAAAAATAAAATAACACATCCTCTTTGCATGACACATTTTTTCTCTCCCCTTTTTGGTATACTTTTATTGAATGGTTTTCTAACAACTTGAAGCACAGGATCAAGGAATTAGGGTGGTCTACTTGAGGCAGACGGGATAGTAGCTGAGAACTGTTCCCCTTCTGATGAATTTCAGCAGCATCGGGATATATTTGGAGCACACCTTAGTAATCTCTTGAGATTAAATTACATAGTCTTAATATTTCTGTTCCTCCATGCAACTGATGTTTGTTTTTTAAAGGGTAAGATGCTGCCTCCCAATGGGTGACACCATCTGGCTGGTTTCCCCATGTCTTCCTGTTCACCCATCCCTGCTCCCACCCTTGCCTGCCTCTAACCCACCACTGGCCAGCCCCCTTGCCCTGCTCTGGGCTGCTGAACACTGGTGCTGTGGTGGTTTTCAAGGTTAATTCCTAGGCTAACCGTATGGCCTATTTTAAAAGGACATCTATATTCACTGCCACTCCGAAAAAGGGAATTATTTCTCAGTCTTTTGAGGCATGAGACTAATATAGGCCATTGTGATTCAGAAAAAAACCCAAGGTTGGAGGGTGGGATGGGTACCCTCTGAAAAAGGGAATTTGCTGGTGAAAAGAGGCTGGATCTTGTGGAAGACTGCCTTCGATGGGGAAGTTCTGCCTGGACATTTCAAATTCACTTGGCCTTCAAACAACAGAGTCATCCATATCTTCCACATGTGAATGTCATTGCAAGGGTGACTCTAGACAAACTACAAACCGATGGATGGTCAGGCTCCCCAGGAGCCCCTTGGATGGCAGCGTTGCTTCAGAGTGTTTCCTGTTTCTGGAATTCCTTGTTAGGGAATGTCAAAGAAGAAAAGAAAAACTTGAATTGTGTGGAATTACTGTATCTTTTACTTTTTTTTTGAAAAGATAAACTTGTAAATAGAATGATTTGAAATACTATATGGCAAAGTTTTATATTTGATATTCTTTAAGCTAGTTGCTCACACGCTTAGTCTTCAGTTGCTGAAGAAGTATGTTTAGGAGGGAGAGAGGGGCGGCAAAGCTGAAGAGAGTCAAGGTCACTGTCCCCGCTTCGGCCTGAAGGAAAGAGAAGACATTCCTATGGCCTTGCTCTCTGCTGTCCCGTTAGTGGGCATGATACATCAGTGGTGTTCAGTCTTTATGTGTTTCTGAGCATCCCTTGGGCTTTGGATTTGGAGATGGGAAGAGCATCTCCAGGCAATGAGTTTTTCAAAGAATGCCTACTTAGTAGTAAGATGAAGCTCAGGATTTAAATAAGTGGGGTCAGGCATTTGATTTTTTGTCTTTCTTCTCAGGTGTATTTCTTGGTACCCCCAAGATATCAGGACAGAAAGAGATGAGTCAATTGCTGTGTTCTTTGCTTCTTTTTCTCCACATCTTCTGAGACTTCAGAAATGTGGACAAGCTAGTTTTCAAATTTTGTGTGCATCTGTAAGTTCTTAAAAAACGAGCTTCTTAGAATGTTCAGTTTTCAATGTGTTGCTGCTTTCCTTTTTCCTAAACATTTTTAAACTCTTCCCTTTCACCTCCAATTCCCTATGATCCCAAAGGAAGAGGAAGACTCCAGGAGGGATGTAGATTGTGCCATCATAGCTTTACAGGTGGTTTTAAAGTTAACAGGGGTTTGTCATGGCAATTCACTACTTAATTTATCAGCTCAAGGATTATATGACTCTTTTCCAGGAACTCACCCAAGAGCAAGCTAGACACTACCATCGAATCAGGGAATAAGAATTAAGAATGGACAGGACCAAGATAGAACTCGAGAAAGCCATTGGAGAAAACTCAAGAAGAAAGGGAGTGTACTAATAGGTTACATCTGTGGACTTGAGGACAAGAAGACCTTGGGAAATGGGGGCCTCAGGGGATGTGCATTCACCTACTATTGTGTTTCCCAAAGAGAGACCAATATCATGCTTTTAACACATACAATGGGGTTTTTTATTTGTGTTTTTGTTTGTTTGTTTGTTTGATTTTTGAGGCGAGTCTCGCTCTGTGACCCAGGCTGGAGTGCAGTGGCGCAATCTTGGCTCACTGCAACCTCAACCTCCCAGGTTCAAGTGATTCTCCTGCCTCAGCCTCCCAAGAAGCTGGGACTACAGGCATGAGCCATCACACCCAGCTAGTTTTTTGTATTTTTAGTAGAGACGGGGTTTTGCCCTGTTGGCCAGGCTGATCTCGAAGTCCTGACCTCAAGTAGTCTGTCCGCCTCTGTTCCCCAAAGTGCTGGGATTCCAGGTGTGAGCCACCATGGCCGACCACATTTGATGTCTGAAGTTGTAATCTGTCCCATCATAAACTTACCTGGAGCTCATGTGGAGGAACAGAAGGCCAAGGTCCTTGCTTTGGGAGTGCCTCACAAAGCATCCCTGTAGACACATGGCCCCAGCTTCACTGCTTGGAATCATGTCCCTCCCTCCTGAGTTGGCTCTGATTTGAAACCAGGAGAAACAGAGCTGCTGCCAATGGGATCTTTTAGGTAACCCCCTCTCCAGCTTCCATGTGTCTGTGCAGTGCCCATGAGTTGCTGCCAATGGGATCTCTTAGGTACCCCCTCCCCAGCTTCCCTGTGACTGTGTAGTGTCCATGACAGATGGCTGCCAATGGGATCTTTTAGGTAACCCCTCTCCAGCTTCCCTGTGTCTGTGTGGTGCCCTTGACAGATGGCTGCTGTGTTTCCCTTTGCGCAGCCAGGCTCCCCTCCTTCCTATTAGCTACAAAACTGGATAAACTTCAGAATATGAGCCAATGAGTAGGAAGGAACTTGAAGACTAAAAGATTTTACTCTCTCCCCTATCCATGCCCCCTACCTCTGACTCTGTGTGAACAGGAAACTTTAGGCCAGATGCGGAGAATGAATTGGTTGGCAGATGAAGAGAATGAATTGGTTATCAGAGTGGAAGACCATGGCCCAGGATCCCTGAGCTTCCCCAGTAGCCTCCAGTTTGCTTTGTAAGACCCAGGAATCACTTAGCCATAGCCTGAATCTTTTAGGGGTATTAAGGGCAGCCTCTCACTCTCCCTTCAGGTTACTAACAAAATGTCATAGTTAAAGACCATCCTGGCTAACACGGTGAAACCCCGTCTCTACTAAAAAATACAAAAAACTAGCCGGGCGTGGTGGCGGCGCCTGTAGTCCCAGCTACTCGGGAGGCTGAGGCAGGAGAATGGCGTAAACCTGGGAGGCGGAGCTTGCAGTGAGCTGAGATCCGGCCACTGCACTCCACCCTGGGCGACAGAGCCAGACTCCGTCTCAAAAAAAAAAAAAAAAAAAAAAAAAAAAAAGAATGCCGTGCCAGGAGAAGATAGCTGGTTTCAAATCCCTGCCCCCAGGCAAGTAAAACCCTGACTTGCTCAAGACAGAAGATCTTCTCTCCTGTTTTTCAAAATAATCGTATATAGAGATGGACCCTGTGCAGTGTGGCCTGCCTTGGTGTCCTAGAATTGGAGCCAGTCTTTCGCTTAATGTCCAAAGTATTTCTACGGCCAATATGTGTTTTCTTACGTCAGACCAAACTCTTTTTGAACATCAGTTCATTTCCTTTCGCCAAGTGCTTTTTGGACAGAGAGGCAAAGAGAATGAACAATCAAGTATTGACAGACTGGCATTAGCAGGACAAAGCCATACTAGTGACAAGGGCATTCCAAGGCACTTGCCCAGAGCTACAGAGTTGGGTGTGCCATACCTGCGGCCCAAAGGGAGGGCCTTCTATCCCCTGAGTTTCTATTGCCTGAGAATGGCAACTGCTGTCTCACTAAAAGCTCTGTCTTGACTACAGAGGCTCCAAAAGCATTCACAGATGAGGGGGAGGAAGACAGAAAGAAGAAGCCAAAGATAACCTGATCCCTGCCTGTCTGTTGGCACCTGTCATCCTCTGGCTTCTGCTCCCAAAAGCAAGTCTGGACAACTGAGTTTTGTGGACATGGCGCTCCCAGAATTTGCCCAAGTACTGAATGTTTTGTGATCAACCATATTCCCCAAGTAGGTAGCCAGCACTGCAGAAACCAAACAGCCTGTTAGCTACCTGACTTTAAGAGGAATGACCTAGGTGTTCTGCCAAGGGAGTTATCTGTCATCTCTGGCAAACTTGACAATCATCACTTACCTCGACAATCCTGCCCCACATCCCTTTATAAAGTCAGCAGGATGTCCTCTCACCCACCCTGTGCTGGTGTCTAAAAAATTTATCTTGTCATGCTCAAATGTGTTTGGCAGCCACACTGATCGGCTGGGTGCTGAACCACCGCTCTGTAATTGTAGCATCAAAATGACAACAGCAGCAGAGCGGCAAATCTTGCCCAGCCCCACAGCATGCCTGAGACAAGACTCCAACAAGTAATAATTAACTTTTTTCTCCTGCCGCCTACAGTACCTGTCTAACTAAAGAGCTTCCCAAAGTGGAGGGAAAGGCCATAGAGAGAATCCAGGTGTTATTCAGAGTCAGTCCTTGCTGAAATGTGGTCTTCCAGTGGAAGCACCTGTATTCTTGGGAGGAAAAAGTGCTGGATGCAAAGTAACACCAGGACCAGAGAGAAAGAGGAAGGTGAACTATCCTAAGGAGCTTTGGATACTTTTTTAGAAGGATAAATATTGTGCTTACTGAGGAGAGAAAAAAAAAACCAATCACAGAAAAATTTCACAGCTAATATTTTTACAAAAGTTGTGCCGGACATTACAAAACTTCTCTCAAGGTGGAATGCTTTAGAGAACAAAGGCTTAGCACAGGCCCAGACCCTTGTGTGGGTATGACATGACGTGACACGTACATGTCAAAGTTCGCTTTAGTATAGTCAGAACCAGAGTATTGATAAACAAAATGTTAGTTACCTGGAGCAGTCCTGGAGAGGCTAAGACATCCTATACTGTTGTACATCAACCATTTCTACAAAGTTATCCAGACACCTAAAAGCAGCTTTCTTGGTTATCCAGATCCAGTTTCTTGGTTATGCCAGAATCAGCCTTGTATCTGACAATGCACATCTGTTGATTCTAAAGTATATTTGTGTGTGTGTGTATATACAGCACATATTTACATCTATGAAGACACAGACACTCATAGAGACCCACATGAGCTGGCACTTGCTGAGCCTTTACAGCCTTTAAGACTTGGAGGTTGAGAATTAGAGACAGAAGAGAGGCTGTTGATGGCCTATTAAAATGATCAAAAATGTAAATTCAGTGCCATTTAAAAACTGTTCATACTTATCAAATGATTATCTACAGCTACATTCTTTGTTAACTTATTTAAAGTCATGTTGCAAAAAAGGTCAAACCCATGAATGCTTAGTAGCTAAGGCTAGTGTTCAGAAGCACTCTAAAAGACATTTTGTCCACATTTTGGAAAAGAAAATATTTGCATGTTTAATCATAATTTAGACTACCTTTGAGTATACTGTAAAGTGCTGTGTGATATAATATCAATAAAGTACTTATTAAATGGCACTTTAATCTTTTCTTTTAAAATAACGCACTGTTCTAAACTTCAGTATTGACTATTGACTGGTGCATAGAATCCAATGCTGTAATTAGAAAGTAATCTGTGACTAGAATAGACCTTTGTCCCTGTTAGTAGTCCTGTTGCCATGTTCAGGCTTTTAAAAAATGTGCTTTTGTGTCACAAAATACATCTATAAAGAAAATACAATTTCTGTTCAAAGGCCTCTGAAACTTGGCTTTCTTACATTTGGTTGGTTTATGTGATAATCCCTATGAAATGAGTGGACGTGTGATTTTTGAATTAAATGTCTTTTCCATTTGGTGGTATTTTCTTGAGTTTCTGATAGAGTTTGACTCAATACATACTTTAATATGTCTTCAAATAAGCATACATAGATGATGATCAAAGGTCGCGAGTCTTGGCTCCTGCAGTTTTTGGTGACAACCACAATGCTGATTTCTGATGAGCTCTGAGAAGCTTTGCTTTCCATTTAGGAAGCGGTCAGATGCTCGGAAACTTGAGAATTTGCTCATCAGGCATATTAAACAATTGAGCCGGAAGAGTCACAGTCCACTTCACATTTCTAACTTTCTTCCATTAGAATACATATTGTTTTATTCTTCCTAAATTTGACTTTCTAATCACCTGTTTTCTGGAACCTCATGAACGCAACGATGGAATCATCAGAACCGGAACACAGGCAATGCCTTCGGCACAGCTGGCTTGTAAATCAGTTGTTGAGAGCTTGTCGCACACTGTCCCAGGCCAACCCAGATCACTGAGTCTTCGCATTCATCACGTCCCTTCCAGATACATTCTGAGTGGCAGCCTGGGACCCAGGTTTCCAGTGAGCGCCCAGCTTCCACCGCAAGCACAGAGGGCTCCCCGACATGCTCAGCGGAGGGGGCATGGGGAAGCCAGCGCTCTGGGGACTGAGGGTGAGGCTTCTGGCTTCAGAAGCTTGCCCTGGGAGAGGAGGAAGGGATGTGAAGCTCCCTTGGTCCTGGTTCTAAGGGGAGGGGGGCTATTTAAATGCATGGGTCACACATGAGCTGTCTACTTGTCCTCATTTGCCACTTAAGGCCCTGGTTTACCCCTGTGAACAGCACAGGCTGCCAGCAGCTGCTGCCCTCACTGAGCTGACAGCCTCCTCTGGAAAACTCCCCCAGCACCCAAAGCCTCCCACATGTGTGGGTCATCCTGTAACTAGGCAAGGCTTTCTGAGTATGGCGTACATCTATGTCTGATCCTTCATGGAGAGAATGAAATACGTGGTGTGTATTTTATCTTTGTCCTTGGCCTTTCCAGTAGATTTCCCAGTTACTTCAACTTTCATGCCTTCCTAGCAGAAAGTTTTAATTTCGTTTTGCTTTTAGCAGTCACTCAGAGCAGAGCGCAAACTGTCACGTCCTGTGGTTTTAAGCTTGGTGTTTTTCACTCAGTTCTGACTGCATGATTAGTCCTAAGAGCACCTGGGTTAGAAGTGGATTTGATTGACAGTTGAAATTAGGTAAATGTTAGAGAGTGAGTGTGATGAGAGATTTTCTCAGACCCCAAACATGCTTGCTCATGAGAATTAAGTCGTGGCTCTAATTTCTTATTTTCTCAGTTCTTTCTCAACCTGCACTCAGATACCACACTTCTCTCCTACCTGAATGTGTCAGTGTCATTGGCTTGGCCTGCTTTTAATAGCACCAAGCTAAGCTGCCACTAATTAACTATGCGGGGTTAGTCAGTATTGGCTGACTGCAGCCTGCACAGCAGCCAAGGGAGGCTCTAACCTCCATGGTAACTGCTCGGGGTGGGTGAGGTTCCTCACATGGAAGAGCTTTGAATAACCATCGGCAGGGAAGGGGCATGCCCATGCCGGGGTGCATACTTCAGAAAACCACCCTGCAGTACCCAGTCAACATCAGACAGTGAGGACCAAAGCCAGAGCTTTTAAGTTGAAATGATCAACACGGAGACCCTCTGTATCCCACAGCACTTAGCAACTCCTGTCACACTGTAAATCTGTCACGTCTCATGTCATTGGCCCCATGAAGCCTGCTGCAACTTCCTATTAGCTGAAACCCAGGTAGCTTTGATGCCTTCCCCAGGCCAACCAGCAAATTAGTAAAAACGTGAGTCCATGGGTTCTTTCTTTGGGTGCCAAATCGCATCTTACCCTCCAGGTCTTGTGCCCACTGTAAACTTGAAATATGTGTTCTGACACTGTGACTGGATGCCCTTTGGGGATTTGGAGAAGGGGGTAGGTTATTGGAAAGAATTATTAACTGTTTTTCTACCTTTTCTGAACCTTCATGACAAAGAAAAGGCGTAGTCATGCTTGCCTCAGTTGTGATGAGCAAGTTGAAATTATGGCAGTAGAGGGTGACCATCTTTCTGTTCCGCCTTTTCTCCCATCACACCATCACACCATTTTTCTCCCTCACGTACGTTCTACCTATAATTCATGACTTGTCATCAGATGTTTGAGGCCCATCTTGCTCTTAATAAACAGCTCAGTTAGGACAGAGACCAGGTCTTGTTCACCTCTGCCCGGTACCCAGCCTGGGGCTGGCACTCAGCAGGGGCTCATAGCCCCTGGGTAGGCTGGCCAAGGGGACAAAAATGTGGGAAAAGCACTGCGCTAGAAGGCAGTTCCTCCTTCCTGTTTTACTCTACAGTTATGGCTGGAAGAAAGAAACTGCGTGTTATTAGACGTGGGTACTTGAACACAGGGTAACTTTGTGACCCTTGGCAAAAGGCACTGTTTGCTCACATACTGGGATTGGAGCTCGTGGGAGGAAGACCTCCCACCCTCCACTCAGGCACACACAGCCACATTCTTTCCCAGCCTCCTTGGCTGGTGCTGGGCACAAGAAACCATCTGGAGAAACAGCTGACCAAGAGCCAGAGACCCTGTGCTGTCTTCTGGGTTACTTCCGGGTTGTTTCATGAACCTCATGTGAAATGGGCCTGCCTTCAAGCAAAACCACATCACAATCACCCCCAAACATAAAAAAAGTATTCCTTGTAAAGTCCCTTCACGGAAATTCCACACTGTCCCACAGGAGTTTGGTCTGGTATCTAACACTCTCACTGAGGGAATTCTTTGGGTCTGACTGAAGTTTCCCATGTGGCAGCTTAAGTCCATTTCCGTTCTGTTTTTCCTTACAGTGGGGAGCAACTGGCCATGGCCCATGGAGAGCAATCACCCTCGATTTTTTATGCTTCCATTCAGCAATCACTTATTGACCACCTCTTCCATGCCGGAGCTGCTACAACCAGGAAGTGTAAGACATGATCTCTGTCCTCAGGAAACTCAAAATTGGCTTCTGCCATAGGGAAATATACAAGGAACAGCGTTTGCTATGTGGTGTGACCATACTAGCAGTGCGTGGCAGGTAGTGTGATGCGATGAGGAAGAGGGATCCTTTCTACTGGGAAATAGGAACCAGAGAAAGTTTCACAGAAGAGGTGGCATTCAAGATGGACCTTGAAAGATAGAGAAGAGTTTCCCACTTAGGCAAATGGAGAAATGTCCCAAGCAGAAGGACAGCAAGGATCAAGAATGAGGTTGGGGGGAGAGAAAAATGGGGAAGGTGGGAGTGGGGAGAAAGAGCAGAGAGAGAGAGAGGTGGCTAGGTGGTTAGGTATGATTTCAATGTGACTGAAACATGAGAAGATAGAGCTTTCTGGAGAATTGAAAACTCTAGTCACCCTCACCCACCCCCCATCTTAGCCTTTAGGCTCTGTTTTCTCTCAGTGACTGACAATATTAGCTAACATTTAGCTAGGTACCTAACACTGTACTATATTGATCACTGAATCCTCAAGACGTTTGAATGAAGTTCTATAATCATCTATAATTATAGATGAGAAAACTGAGGATCAGGGAGGTCACACGAGCCAGGTGGCAGTGAACTGAAAGTTCAAACATAGATCTGTCTGCTTCTACAGCCCATATGTCCTCTTTTTTTTTTTTTTTTTTTTTTTTTTGAGATAGAGTCTCACTCTGTTGCCCAGGCTGGAGTACAGTGGTGTAATCCCAACTCACGGCAGCCTCTGCCTCGTGGGTTCCAGAAATTCTCCTGCCTCAACCTCCCAAGTAGTCGGCATTACAGGTGCAAGCCACCACGCCCAGCTAATTTTTTTTTTTTGGTAGAGATAGTGTTTCAACATGTTGGCCAGGCTGATCTCGAACTCCTGACCTCAGGCAATCCACCTGCCTCGGCCTCCCAGTGTGCTGAGATCATATGACCTTTTAAAACTTCCAAATTTATTGATAGATACACACACGTGATTTACACAAATGCATAAACATAATCACATCACACGTGATCATTTTAAAATTTCGTGGCAGTTTTTCCTTCTGGTTTTGATATGGTTCTTCCATCCTCCCTACATCAGCCTCCTCCCTCTGCAGAACCGATGTCAACAACCTCATTTTGCCCTTCTCAGCAGTGAGCGCTTCAGAAAGCACAGTCTCTGGCACACACTCAGCCTTGGTTTTGCAGTGGCAGGAATAAGAGCAGGAAATGTTTGGATTAAAAACTTTCTTTCCTCCTAGGAGCCCTCTGCTTACTCATCTTGGGTGAATAGTTCCCCATTTCTTGAGCTCTGTGCAGATACTCCTCATTCCCTGGGCAGCCCCAGACACTCCAGCTGCAAGTGTTGGCCAGTCACTTCATCCTTGGGGACGTGGCATGGAGGCAGCCCCCGCAAAGGGCCCGGTCGTGCTTTGCTGGCTGGAAGTATGTAATGTGAAATTTTAAAAAAACTTAACAGTTTGAAAATGGCTCCTTTCTCCACCCTGATCCAGCTGCTGACAACAGACCTTCAGGCTCTTACGGAATTGCCAGGGAAATCCCATGAGCACGTGTCGTCTTCTGGGAGAACCAGTGTGTTTCTAACCCGATCTGCTAATGCTTAAAAATAGATCATTTTCATGGCATTTGAACCCCCTCTTGAGCCTAATGAGATTTAAAGAAGTCAGAGGTAGCAGAGAGAACATGAAGACTCAAAGCAGATGATGGGTGAGTACCTGTAGGGCACAGGAATAGTGGGAGTCAACTAAGGTGGGCTTATAGAGCAAGACCCTCACCCAAGTCTCCTACATTCCCTGAAGGGGGCTAAACGGTTGCATGTTAAGAGGCCAGTGATGAAGTCTGTCTCGTTGATGGAGCACTTCCATATTATGGGCATTGAACCAATTGCTGTACATTAGTCTCGTTTAATTCTCAAATCAGCTCTATGAAGTAGGTGCTGTTGTTACCCTATTTTGTAGATGAAGAAGCCAAATATTAGATTGGGCAACTTGTTCAAAGTCACAGAGTTAATAAATAACAGAGCAGAGAATCAACCCCAACTCCAGAGCTTAACGCTTAACTCCCATACTCTTAATTCCCATACTATTCTAACTCTGGGAATGGTCTCAGAAGCTCCACCCCCCAAACGTCCTTCACTTCTTTCACCCCAAGGGAATATCTTTTGTTTTGTCTGCTTGGCATCCAGTACCCCTCTTTCTGGTAGCAGCACCTCTGTTTTCCTTTGGGGAGCCACCCTGCCCCTCCCCTCACCTCGGGTTCCATGGGTTTGGGTGAGCTGGCATCAACCCGTGATCCAACCATGACCCTGAGACCCTGCTCTGGCCTATGAGATCATCACATCTACCCAGCCAAAGTGATTGATTGATTCAGGAATGGGCACAGGGCCTAGTGAAGTCCCCAGTGCCAGGGCTTTGTCCTGGAGAACGGTATACAGGACACGGCAGAGGAATTCATCATATCGGGAAAGAATAGTAAGTGCTCTTTCCCCCAGCCTCAATGTCTCCTCAGCATGAACACTGTCTGCCACTTGTCTTCGTTTAAAGTCCCAGTATAAAGGCCCCCATACTTTATGTTGACTATTTCCTGAGATTTTAATAGTGTACCTCGTAGAAAAGTTGTTTCAGACAGCAAGCAGAAGATGTGAAATATTCATTGCAATATAAAATGAACAAACACTGTCCCACTTTGATCAATCCTGGAATGATGTCACTAAAAGAAAAATCTAGGTCAGGTGCCGTGGCTCACACCTGTAATCCCAACATTTGGGAGGCTGAGATAGGAGTACTGCTTGAGCTTAAGCGTTTGAGACCAGCCTGGGCAAGATGGCGAGCCCTCCATCTCTGCAAAAAAAAAAATTAAAAATTAGCTAAGCACAGTGGCACATGCCTGTAGTCCCAGCTACTTGAGAAGCTGAGGCAGGAGTATCCCTTGAGCCCAGGAAGTCGAGGATACAGTGAGCCGTGATCATGCCATTGCACTCCAGCTAAGCTACAAAGTGAGACAGTCTAAAAAAAAAAAATTAAGAATAATAGAAAGAAAAGACTTTATGCCTTCCTCCACTCTGGAAGCAAAGCTTATTTTAAAATACTGACTTTCGTTCTTCATTCTGGGCCAGGAGAAGCCATGACTGGATCTCATAAGAATAGGCAGGAATCGTGTCATACAGAGGCCTCTGCAAATACTTTCCCAAGCACAGTTGATTCAAGTCGTCACTTGATAATTTGGCGCATCCCAGGGGTGCATCAGTGTTGAGACATTTCACCCTGGAATTCTTACAAAGGACCCCTCAGTCAGTTGTAATAAAGAATGGCAATACATCATGCCCAGATCATGACATGGAATTGAATGGCATAAAGTGATCCTCAGTTCAGAAAGATGTTCACACACCTTGGGGGCTGCACCCAAACCTGTTCAACCATCCCACAAGCATGAGTCTGAGACACTCTGGGGGTACCCAGTTCAGACCTTCACCTTCACTGGGGTGGGGCAGCATCGTTGGAGGCCCTGAAAGGGGGTGGGTGTATCTAATCAGACTTAGATACCCTGGTGCTGCTCTTCCTCCATGCTGTGCTCACATTTTCCTTGTTTCAAGGACTGCCAGATAAAGGGATTTCAAATCTTTTTTCTTTCTTTTTTTTTTTTTTGATACGAAGTCTTGCTCTGTTGCCCAGGCTGGAGTGCAATGGCATGATCTCGGCTCACTGCAACCTCTGCCTCCCAAGTCCCAGTTCAAGCAATTCTCCTGCCTCAGCCTCCTGAGGAGCTGGAATTACAGGCATGCACCACCACACCTGAATAATTTTTGTATTTTTAGTAGAGACGGGTTTTCACCATGTTGGTCAGGCTGGTCTCAAACTCCTGATCTCATGATCCACCTGCCTCGGCCTCCCAAAGTGCTGGGATTACAGGCATGAGCCACTGCTTCCAGCCAGGGTTTCCAAATCTTACAGGAACACCTCCACTGGCAAGGAGGGCCCTCCTGGCCCTCAATAGATAATACATTCACTTAAGTACAGCATTTCAAAATGTTCAAGGGATTTTTTTCTGCTCCAAATTTTCACCATGGCACATCTCTGATCAAAAAATTTCAGAAGCTCCATGTAGCCTGGAAAGGAAGGAAGGAGGGAACGAAAGAGGAAAAAAAAAAAAAGAGAGAGAGAATCCTTGCTCCTTAGCATAGCATTCAAGGTTTTTCCCGATATGGCCGCAACCTCTTCTCCAATGCGCCTGCATGCAACTTATGTCCCAGAAGCACTGACTCTTCATCATGTTACAACCATCTGAACCAACATCCATCTGTCCATTCATTCATTCTATATTTATTGGGTCCTTACTTGTGTCCACACCCAAGACTTGGAGCTGTCTCCTGCTTGTGTTCCCGAGGTTAACTCGGGCTTACATGCCCTCCACTTCTCCCACCACAAGGGAATATCTGTTGTTTTTGCCTGTGTAGCATCTATTACTCTTTCTTCTGGTAACAGCACCTGTTTTCCTTCACGGAGGCCCCCCCCCTACTCCTCTCAGATCCCATGGGTTTAGGTGGCAACAATGGTTTATTTATGAACCCAGTCTGGTCTATGAGATCATCAAATCCACTGAACTAGAGTGATTGGTTGATTCAGGAATGAACCTAAGACCTAATTAAGTCCAGGGAGAATCAGTATTCTAGATTTTTTAGATAGGTAGTGGTGAGAGACTTGGTCTGCTAGATTTGGAGCATGAAGACTGCTGGTGGCTATCTTGTCCCCTCAGTGAAGGAGGCTGCCTGAGATCTGGATGACTTAAGAGCAGTGCTGAGAGAGACAAAGAATAGCAGCACCCATGCCATGGGGCCAGATGCACCTGAGCTTTTCCACTACATCAGCCAATAAATTCGCATTTTGCTCAAAGCAATCTGAATTGGGTTCTTTCACTTAAAATAGAAATCCTGAGCTCTAGATAAACTCAGGGGTGATTTCTGCACAGCCCTCTGTCCCACTTGATTGTCTACTCCTTTGTGAGGCGCCAGAGAACCTGACATCAAGTGTGATTCTGTAGCATCTTGAGGTAATCGCTCCTCTTCTCTGAGTATCAGTTTCCTCATCTTTAAAATGGACATAAGAAAACTTCCCTTCTAAGGCTGTGTGGATTAAATGACATCTATTCATGTGCTGTATAAAGTTCATTGCCTTTAAGTCAATAATATAGTATCACAATATGGATTTTTTTTTCAATTTGTGGAAGGAGTTGGCAATATCTAGATGTTTTCTAAATTGTTGCAGAGCCATTACTACATTCAGCCTGCCAGTCTTGGGCATCACCTGGGGCTCTATGGGTTCTGCCCATTACCCCTGTAAAGGACAACCCTACATATTAGGTGTCATCCATTTCTCCCCACTTGCTTCCCTGGCCATGGTCAAAAGGTCTGCTTGTGACACGAGTAGACACGTGATAGGGTCTGGATCTGTGTCCCTGCCCAAATTTCACATTGAACTGTAATCCCCAATGTTGGAGGAGGGGCCTCATAGGAGGTAATTAGATCATGGGGTGGAATTCTCATGAATGGGTTAGCATCATCCCCCCTTGGTCTGTATAGTGAGTGAGTTCTCATGAGATCTGCTTGTTTAAAAACATGTAGCACCTCCTGTCTCTCTCTCTTCTCCTGTTCTGGCCTTGTCAGATGTGCCTGCTTCTCCCTCACCTTCCGCCATGATTGAAAGTTTCCTAAGACCTCCCAAGCAGCCATCATGCTTCCCATACAGCCTGTGGAACCGTGAGCTAATTAAACCTCTTTTCTTTATAAATTACTCAGTCTCAGGTATTTATTTACAGCAGTGCGAGAATTAATACAACACCCAAGCCAGAGGCTGTCAAAATGCCAGTGGTCTGGCTTAAACACACGATGCAGGCCAATCAGATTTTTGCTCCTGTGAGTTTGACCTTTGAGGGAAGTTGTCCTTAGAGATGGGTGCATGAGATGAGAGCTCCTGATGTCCAGCTAGGAATGGTGGTCATGTTGCACTGGGTACAAGTTTAAGACAAAAAGAGGCCTATCTGCAGAGGCAAGAGATTGGTGCACAAAGAAAAGACCAGAACCAGAGAAAGCAAAAAGCTGCCTCAGTCCTGAACAGCTATTTTCCTAGAAGGACTAGGTTCTGTGCTCTGTTTTAGGATCCCAGATGATCCCTGTATCCTTACAATTAACACCTCATTGTATTTGGGTGGATTTGAGTGACTTCTCTTCCTTACAACCAGAAAGCCCTGTAGTAGTCTATTCTCACGTTGCTAATAAAGACATACCCAAGACAGGATAATTTATAAAGGAAAGAGGTTTAATGGTTTAACTCACAGTTCCACGTGGCTGGGGAGGCCTCACAATCATGGCAGAAGGCAACAAGGAGCAAGTCACATCTTACATGGACAGTGGCAGGCAAAAAGACAATTTGTGTGGGGGAACTCCTCTTTATAAAATCATCAGATCTCATGAGACTTATTCACTATCATGAGAATAGCATGAGAAAGACCTGCTCCCATGATTCAATTACCTCCCACTGGGACCCTCCCATGACATGTGGGAATTGTGGGAGCTACAACTAAAGATGAGGTTTGGGCGAGGACACAGCCAAACCATACCAAGCCCTCTCTAGAGCCATAATAGGTCCCAAATGGCAATGGGGAAAGCCAGAGGTTCTGGCAGCCCAAGGTCAGGTAGTGAAACAGTTTTCAGCCTCTGGGCTTTTTACCTTTAGTCTGGAGCTCCAGAACTGGGGCGCCCACCCTGAGGTTTCACACCAGGAGAGAGATGGAGTGTGGATCTTGTGCCCCCTCGCTTTCCTGCTAGGGTTGGGAAAAACAGGTTTAGAAAGTTGCAGGAGTTGGGCTGGCCACTAATTTCCACAAACTACCTTAATGTCTTATTGTTGTTAATATTAGCTATTGCTCTTAAAACACACGCACATAGCAATGGTGTTGCAGGGAAAGCCAAATAGAAATGACAGCTTTCTACTCCCTCTGCTCACTTGAAGCTCTTTCCTTTGATAATACCTGGAATGGTTTTCTATTAAGGGCAAACCGGAGGGCCCTGAGGACTGTGAACAATCTCAAGCCCTCTGCCACATTGTTTCTCTCAAATGCCAGAGGAAAAAGGTTGAAAATCTTGAGAGGCAGGGACAGTGATTTTTCTCTCCTTGGAGGCCTAAGCTGACCATGTGGCACTGGCCCCATTCATCTGCTGTACGGCAGAGTAAATTCTGCTTCTCTGCCCCGTCCCTGTGGTAGCCCCAGCTGAAGCTGATGAATCTTATACTTAAAACTGGCTCATCTCAGGTCACCAGAGCCAGCTTGAAACTGGCTATGGTGGGAGTTATTTATATCACCAAAATCACCAAGTGCTACAAATCAGCCCTCCACCTCCACCCCCACCCGCACCCCATCCAGTTTTTAAACACTTCCTAGCACACCACTGCCTAGTCTACTTGAGTGTTAATATGATAGATAACACCTGAACTTGGCTCCATACAGCCTAGGCTGGCTTCAGCCTAAGTGAGGGTGGGCGCGTGGGAATGGGGGTGGGGTGGGTGTAGAACTAGAGAGGCGCAAAGTCACCTTGCCCAAGCACAGGCAGTACTCTGCCCTGTGAATCAACAGCTGGGTTTTGTTTATTTGCACTGGTTTTCACCAGATCTAGAAAAAGGAGTTGGTTCGCTGCCAAGACCTCCGTACAGGTCCCGTGCATCAGAGTACTTAGTGATGCATTCTGCCTGCTGCTCCATTTGCTGCAGGAAGGAGGCGGGAGCTCAGTGAGATGGAAGCCACCACAGGCTCGTTCTCCCAGGTCAGTGGAACGGTCACTAACCATTCCAGGTCCGGCTGCCTTACTTGGGGACCACAGAATTACTCTTTCCCTTGGTAACTGCTGAGGGCAAGAGGCCCAGAGGTTGGCATTGCCAGTATACAGTCCCCCTGGAACCAAGCTTGGTCAGAGTCCCCAGCATCTCTGAGCTCACTTAGTGACTGACCTTTAGCGTCCTCTGGGAAGTTTATTGAAACCAAAGATCCTGACTTGGTGTATGTGGGATGAGGCCCCAAATTCTGCGTGTGTGTGTGCGCGCGCGCGCGCACACGCGCGTGATGAGCGCTCACTATCTCACTATGTTGTCTGTGCTGGCCTTGACCATATTCTGTGTTTTTAATGACACTTGGGATGATTGTGAGTCTGGTGACCCTCAAAACTCATTTTAGGGTCAAATCCAGACATGAGTGATGCGTTAATAGACACATTTCTTTTTTTTTTATTAAATATTGAGGTTTTCTGGGTTCTCTCTATGCTGTTGTTAGCAACTTCCCTTGTACCACAGATGTATGAATGAGAAGCTTCTTCACTGTGTCATGATTAACACAAGCATAATATGAAAAAATCCATATTTAGTAAATCATAAATTAGTCGGTAGCTATATGATGAAGGACCTCACCAAACTTTGCCTTTAAATACTGGAATGAACTCACTCACTTTAAAAGATTAGATTTTCAGTAACCTAATTGCCAGAAACTATTTCAAGAACACAAGGATTCTGCCAGGATCTAAATCAACACACCTTCCTAACTTTAGTGCTGATTAGAGTCAGGGTAGCTTTTGGCCAAAGCAGAAACTGTTACAAATACAGGCTGTCAGTGACAAAGCCACGGTTTCTCCTTCACCTCCTCTGTCCTGAATAGAATTGAGTAAGTGACAAAAAGGAATAGAGCCTTAAGTATCCCATCTGCAAAAGAAAAAATATCTTAAAGGGGCAATGTGTTCTGGAAAAAAGCACGAGATTTCAAGTGGGCCTTTGAATTCTCATCATAGCTTTTCTGACAGGTTATTTAACCTGTCTGAGTCTTTCTCATTTTAAAATGGGGGGGGGAGGTGCCGGGCGTGGTGGCTCACACCTGTAATCCCAACACTTTGGGATGCCAAGGCGGGTGTATCACTTGAGGTCAGGAGTTCGAGACCAGCCTAATTAACATAGGAAACCCCATCTCTACTAAAAAATATGAAAAAATTAGCCAGGCGTGGTGGCACGCACCCGTAATCCCAGCTACTCATGTGGCTGAGGCAGGAGAATCACTTGAACCTGGGAGGCGGAAGTTGCAATGAGCTCAGATTGTACCGCCGCACTCCAGTCTGGGCAACAGAGGGAGACTCTGTCTCACAAAAAAAAAAAAAAAAAAAAAAGGTGTGTGTGGATGGAGAGAGGAGATAATTCCTGTGTGGCAGACACATCAAGAGGGATCCCCACCTCATAGAGTTGTTTTGAGAATTGAATGATTAAAATTTGATCCCTAATGAATTAAATGAAACAATTGTGTCTGGCAAACATTTGGGACAATTGAGTATCAAAATAAATATAGTAAAGAGTTCCAACAGACATGAGTGATGCTTTGATAGACACATTTCTTTTTTTATTAAATATTGAGGTTTTCTGAATAAGATTTCATGAGTCCAAGCTGATATAAATAAATAAGGCATACAAGAAAATTCTTCCTTATGGTTGAAAGCAACTAATAACTGTAGAAGGAATGGCAGAATTAGAATATCACCATCTGGCAACCATAATAATAAGTATTTGAGTCATGGAGAATCATCAATGAATGATTCACTTAGGATATTTACACAGTTTCAAAGTATCTCCTCACAAGAGACTTATTAATCACGAGGGATAAAACAGTAGCTGTACGGTAGAGAAGCCTAACAGACACCAACTTTAAATGGGACTAACTGACAGCGTGTCCCTCCTATGAGGCATTGAGAAGAACTGAAAAATTCCTGGAAAACAAAAACAAAAACATATAACCTGAATCTCACCCAATGGAGGGGCAAGACCCTGAACTGAGGAAAGACCCAATTGAGGGGCATTCAATGAGATAACTGGGCTGTTCACTTCAAATATGTCAACGCCATGGAATAAAAAGATTCAGAAACTATTCTAGATGCCCGTGGACATGACAAGCAAATGCAACACATAACTTTGGGTTTTCTTTGGCTAGAAAGGACATTATAGGAACAACTGGCAAAATCTGAGGAAGGATTATAGACTAGATAATTGTATTCCATCAATGTTAGCATTGCAGTTTAGATAATTGCACTGTGGTTTAGTGAGGCAGAATTTTTAGGCAGGCTTTTAGGAAATATACATAACTATTTAAGGGAATAGGGCATCAGGTCTCCAATTCACTCTTACATGGTAAAAGAAAAAATTTAAAGAGAGATAGGTGATAGATAAGGCAAATGTAGTAAAATGCTAACTTTTGGGGTATCTGGGTAAAGATTGTTCAGGAATTCTTCACTATTTTAGCAACTTTTTTGTAGGTCTGATGTTATGTTTTTAAAATGTATTCAGTACATACTGAGACCTGCTGTTTTATCTTAATGATGATAATACAACAGTGAGTCCATTGTAAGGAGTTTAGAAGCAAAAAAGAAAGCAAATATAAAACCAATACAGGATTTGCTAGAGGGAAGTTTGGGGTTTTATAGTGCAAAATTTGTAACTGGCCACCAACCTTCCCTCATTCACCTTGATTTAGGTCCTCTTGGTGGCTCTGCTCCCATGACTGGGGGCTAATGTGGAAGGTGTGATCTTATAGGAAGCGCAGGCTTTATGAAGTGTGTCCTCTGTAAGGTGGAAGCCAGTGTGCTTCACTCTGATGTTGTTTCTTAGGCTCATGCCTGGAAGGTACTGCAGGATACCGGATACTGGGTCTACCTTCCAGCCCCAGAGGACACTGTGAAAAGTCATCTCAGGCTAAAGGTTTCATCCTGGCCCTGTTTCTGTCTATTTGGAGGACATAAATATAAGAGAGTACTTTTGGCGGTACAAAGCGCCATCCACATGTGTCAGTCTCAGACACGTGCTGGTGGAGCCTGTGGCTAAGAGGGCAGCCTCTGGAGTCAGATGGGCTGCTTCCAAATCCCAGACATGCCACTTACCCCCCGGTAGGCAATTGGGGGGAGGTCATTTAACCTGTCTGCCCTCCACTTTCTGCATCCATAAAATGGGGATAATAACTGTAATACAGAGCGAACTAATAGGATTGGTGTTCAGTAAATGAAACAGTGCAAATGACACAGGCTTTGTGCTCATGCATCCCAAAGTATTTTCAAGTATAAAATAATGCTATCATGCTATCCTGAAATTACCTAAAATCAGAGCAATTGTATTAGAATTTGCTGTAATTTCTCTCATTCCCCTTGACCTGTCCTGGCCAACTTATCTTCTGATGGCACAAATCACCAATTGCTTTTAGTGTCGATTTTCTCTTGGTGGCAGTTCCTACTGGGCTTCTGGGGTAGGAGGCTGGCTCCTCTCCTACCTCAAGATTCTAATTTGCTAGGAACCTTGGAGCTCCTCAGATTTCTGTGCTTCTGCAGGAATTCATCCTGCTTGAGACACTCACCTGAAAAACATGCGGTTGAAGATGGAATTTCGATGTTAGGCCCCAGAGCTGTGGAAGGTATTTTCAATTTGGCCTTCTTGCCAGGCACACTTGAGCCTGCACAAATTCTGTTCCCCACGCAGAGACAGGGAAAGAAAGCTGCCTTGCTGTTAGGACTGTAAGACTACACCCAGGATCTCAGAACAGCACTTCCCCCACCAATCTGTCCACGGTGGCCTTAGCCAAACCCGAGGAATGGAGGCTTAACAGGAATGTGTCATAAGAAAAATATTCCATTAGAGTTTTCTCTCCCAGATTCCACGCCCACATTTCTGCCTGCCTGTTGGACATCTCCAGTTAGATGACCCACAGGCATGTCCTTACCAAAACAACATGCCCAAAACGACACTTCACTCTCTCTTCCTGTCTTGGGTAGTGTCACAAGCCAACTTAAAAGCCTGGAAATCCTCCTCCCACATCTCACCCCTACTGCTAGGAGGTCTTTTCCATTGCAAATCCCAAGTGGCTCAGATCCGATTCTTCCTCTTCGTGCCGCACATATTGACGTTCAGGGCTTCAAGATCTCTCGCCTGGACTATTTCAGCAGCCTCCTAACGAGTCTCTCTTCTCCCAGCTCCTGACTCTGGCTCCTCTCCATGTTAAGAGGAAAGTCACCCCAAAGCAGGAAATGGAATTACTCTCCTACCATGATGAAGCCTGTGTTGCCTCTCCCAATGACTCAGGGATGGAGTGTGGACTCTTGAGTTGCCATGTAAGGGCCTAGCCCATTTCCCCTGCTTCATCTCGCCCTGAACACCCCTCCCTCCAGCATCCCAAACTGCTCACGGGTTCCCCAACTCCTCCTTAGGCATTTGCTGGTGAGTCCTTGAACAAGATCTTCCCTCTGTCTGGACCTTCTCTTCTCCCCCTTTTTTAACCTGGAAGTTTCCTACTTAGCCTTCAAATTCAGCTCAAAAGTCACCTTCTCTGGAAAGGAAGTCTCCCTATGTCCTCTTCTTTTCTCCCAGAGCATGTTTTCAGTGCCTTTTGCATCATAATGTATTAGTTCATCTTGTGGTTGTTGGTTTATATATTTACACTAAATGCTTTTCAAGATCAGGGATTCTGCCCTGTTGACTTTTGTACTCCCAGGTGGACATGGTGTTTCTTCAGGAAAGGGTGCTTGGGTGGGTGTGTATATAATGCACCAATAGTGCCACAGAGCAGCCCTGACATGGTTTGACTGTGTCCCAACCCAAATCTCATCTTGAACTGTAGCTCCCATAATCCCCACATGTTGTGGGAGGGACCCAGTGGGAGGTAATTGAACCATGGGGGCAGGTTTTTCCCATGTTGTTCTTGTGATTGTGAATACGTCTCAGGAGATCTGATGGTTTTATAAATGGGAGTTCCCCTGCACATGCTGTCTTGCCTGAAGCCGTGTAAGATGTGCCTTTGCTCCTTCTTCACCTTCTGCGTGATTGTGAGGCCTCCCTAGTCATGTAAAACTGTGAGTGCATTAAACCTCTTTTTCCTTATAAATTACCCACTCTCTGGTATGTCTGTATTAGCAGTGCGAGAATGGACTAATACAAGCCCTGTACACTAGAAGCACTGCCCTTTGCTGTAGCTTCATAATTCTGCCTAAGTACTAGAAGGTTGATGCTATGAAAGGTGGCATTCAAGGCTCCAAATTCACCTTTATCTCAAACTTCTTTCAGTAGAACTTGTCTCCCTTCTTTACCTGCCTTCCATCCCCTTTCTCAGCAGATCTCTGAGAGGATGTCTCTCAGTCATAAAAATAAAAAAAATAAAAAAAATAAAAAAATTGTATTCTGTGTTTACCGGCTACAGAAATTTACTTTCCTGTGGAATCAGAGAGAGAACTGATCTTGTTAAAAGGCTCTAGCTATAATCCCTTAGAGAGGGGATCCACTGAGTAGAAAACTGTCAACAGAATAAAATGCTGACACTTTAGGTGTCCATTTCCACACCCAACCATGTTTACATATGATATTTAGAACCAGGATTCAACTGACCCTGGCACTCAACAGCCTTCGTTCTAATTTCTTCCACGTTGAGTTTTGTTCCAAGTTTCTGACCGTTTTTACTTTGGAAGGTGGCCAGGGTCCTGGGGTGGCCACGGTCATGCCAAGTCGCAGTGCCCCCTCCACTTCAGGGCTTAGACTGCTGCTTGGAATGCGTGCATTCTGGCAGGTGCAGTGCATGCAGGGGTCAGACCCCTATGGTTTGATGAGATAAGAGCCTCCTGCACAGAATCTCATTTTTTCTCCATCTGCACCGCCATTTGGGCCTCGGGCCTCATGACTCACACAGTGGCTATCCATCTGCCCATTTACTCCAGAAAGAGAAAAGGACTTCTTCGCACACAGTGAGTCATCGCATCACATTTCAGAGCCACCTGCCTGACTCATAGACTATAGCAGAGCTCTGTAATAACGGGGCTCCCTATTGCATGAAGATGAATATTACTTGCATATGACCCTTTACACCCCCAAACCAACTCGATATTCCCATCCTGAGCCAATAATGGGAGAGATCAGGCTTGGCAGATTTTTGTCCTCCTGTTCTTGAGTCCCCTCCCTGCATCACATGCTAATTGATGGATGAGCTTTCCGCTGCTGAGGCCAGCAGAGGCCTCAGCATCAGAGTTAAGACAACACTCTCAGTGGCAGCCCTTCACAATTGGTCAGACTTGGTGCCAGAGGTTAAAGCATATTGATATGCTAAGGTTAGATTGGGAAGACAGGACTGTTTTCAGGGTGAGCACTGTGGTCTCCAGAAGGCTACCCTTCTTTTTTTATATAGTTAATTATTTGAATCAGGAGTATAGAGGGAGGTAACATACGCACAGGGTACAAAACTCAAAAGGTATGCAATAGTGCGTAGTGAAAATTATCTTTCCCATCTCAGTTCCTCAGTTCTCCTCCTAAAAGTCACCAACATCATCAGGCTTTTTTTAATTTTAATTTTTATTTTAATTGAGACAGAGTCTCACTCTGTTGCTGAGGCTGGAGTGCAGGGGTGCCATCTTGGCACACTGCAACCTCTGCCTCCTGGATTCAAGTGATTCTTCTGCCTCAGCCTCCCGAGTAGCTGGGATTACAGGCGCATGCCACCACACCCGGCTAATTTTTGTATTTTTAATAGAGACGGGGTTTCACCTTGTTCACTTGGCTAGTCTCGATCTCCTGGCCTCAAGTGATCCACCTGCCTCAGCCTCCCAAAGTGCTGGGATTACAGACATGAGCCACCATGCCTGACCAGGCTTTTTAAAATGTGTATTTTTTTCCATACATTATATTGACAGATACAAATGTACACAAAAGTATTTTTTTGTGTGTATATATAAGTGTATGTGTGTGTGTGTGTATGTATATATAGATGATGATAGATAGATGATAGATAGACAGATAGTAGGTGGGTGGGTGGATGGATGGATGGTTAGATGGTTGGATGATGGATGGATGGATAGATAGATAGTAGGTGGGTGGATGGATGGATGGTTGGATAGACGGATGGATAGATAGATAGTAGGTTGGTGGGTGGGTGAATGGGTGGATGGTTAGATGGTTGGATGGATGGATTGATAGTAGGTGGGTGGTGGGTAGATGGATGGATGGTTAGATGGTTGGATAGATAGTAGGTGGGTGGGTAGATGGATGGTTAGATGGTTGATGGATGATTGATAGTAGGTGGGTGGTGGTATGGATGGATGGTTAGATGGCTGGAAGGGATAGTAGGTGGGTGGGTAGATGGATGGATAGATAGTAGGTGGGTAGGCAGATGGGTAGACAGTAGGTGGGTGGGTGGATGGATGGTTAGATGGTTGATGGATGGAGGATGATAGATAAACAGAGGTGGGTAGGATGCTGGATGGATGGTTAGATGATTGGATGGATGGATGGATAGATAGGTGGTTGGGTGTGTAGATGGATGGATGGTTAGACGGTTGGATAGATGGATAGGTAGCAGGTGGGTGGGTGGATGGATGAATGGATGGTTAGATGGTTGATTGAATGGACGGATAGATAGATAGATATGCTGTATTAGTTTCTAGGGTTGCTGTAACAGTGTGCCACAAACTGGAAATTTATTATCTCACAGCTCTGAAAGCTGGAAGTCTCAGATCCAGGTGTGGACTGAGTAGGTGTCTTCTGATTGTGATGGAGAATTTGTTCCATGCCTTTCTCCTAGCTCCTGGTGGTTTGCTATAAATCTTTGCCAGTTCCTGGGCTTGTAGAAGCATCACCTTGATCTCTGTCTTCATTTTCATAAGGCGTTCTCCCTGTGTACATGTCTGTCCAAATTTTCCATTTTTATTCAGCACACCAGTCATATTGGATTAGGGTTCAACCTAATGATCCTTATTTTAACTTGATTACCTCTGTAAACACCCTATCTCCAAAGAAAATCACATTTGGAGGTACTAGGGGTTAAGACCTCAACATCTAGATTTTGGGAAGGGCACAAGTCAACCCATATACAACAGGCATCTAAGTACATGCTAATTTTTACACAAATGCTAGCCCACTCTGAACACTATTCTGTGTCTTGTTTTTCATTTTATTACTCTTGAAGATTTTTCTGCATCAATACAGAGACCTGTCTGCCTCATACTTTTTAACGGCTATGTAAAACTGCAATGAATCATATGGGAGTAAAATTATTTAGTCTTATAGTGAGGGATACTTAAGCTCTGTTCTAACTTGTGTTATTACAATAGAGTCTCAATGAATGCCCTTGAACATATCAATTCACACTTTACGTGAAGCACAGCTGTAACATATTAAAAATGGAACTGTTTGTTTATAGGGTAAGTGTATTTTGATTTCAATATCTACATAAACTGTTCTTAGAGGACAGAGACGAATTTATCAGATTAGCTAACAGCCACCTTGGGTCTATTTCAGGTTAAAATTCAGGACTAGGAAGGGTTCATAGAAGGAAGGAGGGGATCTTTTTAAATTGGCACTCATGAGCCCCCCAATTTGAAATGACACCCTTGATTTGTGCCACCAAAAAGTGTTTCTCTGTGTCTGCTCTAAGACCATATCTTCACTACTGAGCCCATGGACTGAAACTGTGTCCAGAGATTCTAGAACCTTCCTGAGGCTTGAGCACAGGGTTTGGAGCAGAGAGGAGAGAGAGGAGTGAGGGACTTGGAGGATAGAGAGTGGTGCCCCAAACACAAAAGAAGAGATGTTCCAACTAATGCGAGGCCTAGTGTGCATGTCATTTCTCTTCTTGTTCTTGCTGGTTCCCTTCCTAGGAGAATGTCTGTTCAGTTTCTGTTGAACCAAACCTCCAGGTT